GAGAGAGAGAGAGAGAGAGAGAGAGAGAGAGAGAGAGAGAGAGAGAGAGAGAAAGGGAGAGAGAGAGAGAAATTGCCATTGGCTCTCGTTGGAGCAGGAGAGAGAGAGAGATAAATACATAAGAGATACCCCCCTATTTTTCTGACTGATGGAAAAACCCCCCGTCCAGATTGAATACCTGTACCTCAGTGAAAGGAGCCAGCCAAACAGACTCTCTCCTTCCTCTTCTGTTGTGATCTGATTCTCCTGTTTCAAACAAACGCAGTCAGAAGAGAGATTCGAGATATCCATGATATGGTGTTGTGTGACGACACGACGCGACGCGACATGGCTGATCTATATAGGAGGTAGTCACATTACCTACATCGGTGATCATGAGCATTACTGACCCTACCTAGCTTAACCGTCTCTACACAAGTTTTCAGAATGGCGTGGAAAAGTATTGGCGATGTGAAAGCCTATCGTAAGTGCACTCACTCACTACATGTATACAGCATGCATGTGTTACGACATCAGCGAGAAGCTTTCTGAGAACAACATTTCTCTGTCATCAGTTTCGTCCTACGACAGCGGCTGGACAGTTCCAAGTTGCCAAAAGTGAATTAGAGATGCACGTTTCTTCATGATGCAGTACGTAAAAGGGGCGAGCGTTCTTCTGCAGCGCCAGTAGAGTCTACTACTATATCTCCTTCACTGTGGCCTTGACCCTGCATTCGCTGATTCCAGAACACGACAGCCATTCCCAGCAGTACAAATTGAAGAAGTCCAGTGACAATGTAGACGAGCCACGTCGACCATCCTATCCAGCTGACACGTAGGAACAGACTGTAGGCAAATAAAAAGGCGCCAGGTGCTTGTATCAGCAGTGTACCCACACTCAAGCTCTTGAGATCCTTGATCTTCCAGGTAAAGTATATTTGGGGCAGGTATTGTACGGCAGCGAGAAGTCCCGAGACTGTTCCCAGCAGATCCGCCCATCGTTGAGTATGGTCTGGATGGCGGAGAACAAGGATGAGTGAAGTAAGGGCGACGACGAAGAGCGAAAGACCAATCACGGTCCCGACAATCAGAGGGTCGCGAGGTCGACTGGGAGGTGGAGGCTTCGTGAGGGTCGCGACTGAGGAGGAGAGATCTACCTCGTCCTCTTCTCGTGGGGCAAAGGTGATGTAGAGGAATACACTAGCAGTCCGGATCAGCATCTGTGGAGGCCGCGCAGTATTGGAGAGAGAGGTAGAGAGACTCACATGATCATAAAGCACGAGAACTGCACGCCAATCTGCATCACTCCCAGCAGAGCAGCACCACAGGCAAACTCGCCAATTTCACGACAGCACAGCATGTCGGCTCGGCTCGTGGGGAGGGTGACAATGTTGCCGATGGCGGCGATGCTGCTGAGTCCACCCAGTAACACCCACCATGGCGAGATGCCTTCGCTGGATCTGCGGCTGATGATTTTGAAGTGTTGGGGCAGGTAGCTCACGAGAATGCCGGCGACGAGGACGGCGGCGAGCGTGACGGGGAACCAGTGCGGGTGTTCGAGTGGTTGGCAGTGGTGAGAGAGCATTTTGTGTCTCTGTCAAGTGATGGAATGGGGCATGTTCTGTTCTCCGTCGGTGGGAGCAGAGCAGGCTGAGGACGTATGAGACAGAGACAGAGACAGAGACAGAGAGTGAGAGACGCGTGAGCTTGACGAGTGACGCGATGAGGACCGTGGACGGACTTCGGGCCGGCCCAGTCCCCGGCTTCCGCTTTGGTGGGGCTGGAATTTGACGACCCTCCATGGAATTAATTGACTTGGCCTTCCACTTCCTCCACCGACATCAATGACTTCGACATGAACTTGCTGGACTTGCCCAACGAGGTGCTCCAATTATGGCATGCACATCGGCCAGAACTGCTACTGTCTGCTGGTGTTCTGCTGGCCATTGTGCGTCTCGTGTTGCACTGGAGAAGCACCAAGGCCAAACCGCTCCTCACCCCGCCACTCGGCACTCCCATCGACGAAAAGCCCTTTCCACTTCCTGAGAAACAGGCGCTCCAGGATCAGCCTGTTCCTGAGACGGCCGCGACTCAGCCCACCAAGAGCAAAGGACCCAAGCGCGTCAAAGGTGTTCGCACTGTGAAGCGCAAAGACAGTCCCGTCCAAACCATCAGCCAAATACAGCCGTACGTCTTTTACTATTCCTTAGGAGGCTCCACACAAGCATACGCGGAGAGACTGGCTGCGACGATTGAACCCAACGACCGCGTGAGGGCTCCTATCGTCCATGACTTGACCGAGATCGACTACGATGACTTCTTCATATCTGCGCCCAAACTGGTGACAGACGGTCTGGCTGCCTTCTACTACGTCCTCCTCCCGTCCTACAATATCGATACTGAGCTGTCCAATTTTCTCTCACACCTGGATGAGACTCACCATGATTTCCGAATCGACGACCAGTCCTTGTCTGGTCTTGCGGGCTACAGTGTCTTTGGCTTTGGAGACAGGCAGGAATGGCCAACGGAGCAAGAAGGATATTGCAGTCAAGCTATCGAAGTGGACAAGTGGATGGCCAAGCTGACGGGGAGAAAGAGGGCCTTCCCACTAGGCATGGGAGACGTGAAGGGTGACGATATCGAGCTGAGGCTGGAGGAATGGAGGAGAGGTGTGTATAGCATTGTGGAAGATCTGAGTACCGGGCAAGGATTGGGAGAAGGTGCCGTGGGGAGTGGAGATCCTGCAGAAAGTGGAGATGAGATTTCCGAGGATGAGGATGATGGTGAAGTACTATTCCCTGTTCAAGGAAAGATCTCGAAGCGCACAACCACCGACGATCTCGAAGATATAAAAGCCCCAATACCAGTCGATTTCACTACCACCTCTACAAAGAAGGCCTCTGCGCCAGCTGTGCCGAAGGCCATGGTGCCCAAAGAGTCGCCGACATATTCATCTCTCACCAAGCAAGGCTACACCATTGTCGGCTCTCATTCCGGCGTCAAGATCTGCCGCTGGACGAAATCTGCCCTCCGTGGCCGAGGCTCCTGCTACAAGTTCTCATTCTACGGCATTGCCTCTCATCAATGCATGGAAGCAACGCCTTCCCTCGCCTGTGCCAACAAATGCGTCTTCTGCTGGCGCCATGGCACTAACCCTGTCGGGACGAGTTGGCGCTGGACGGTCGACCCTCCCGACCAAATCTTCCAAGGCATGACAGCAGGCCACTACCAAAAGATTAAACAGCTGCGCGGGGTTCCAGGAGTGCGGGCAGAACGATTTGCAGAGGGGATGCGAATTCGTCATTGTGCACTCTCTCTCGTCGGCGAACCAATTTTTTATCCACACATCAACGAGTTGCTTGCTATGCTCCATGCGCAGCATATATCTTCTTTCCTCGTGTGTAACGCGCAACATCCTGATCAACTCGCCTCTCTCGGTCCCGTCACACAACTATATGTCTCCATTGACGCATCAAATAAGGAGCAACTTCGAAAGATTGATCGTCCTCTTCATCGGGATTACTGGGAACGTTTCACGAAGTGCATGGACATCCTTCGAGAGAAGCGATTTACCCATCGTACTGTCTTTCGACTGACCCTTGTCAAAGGCTTTAACATTGATGAAGAAGCGCAAGGGTACGCGGATCTCGTTGAACGCGCCCTACCGGGGTTTGTCGAAGTGAAAGGGGTGACATATTGCGGGACGTCCACGTCCAAAGGGGCAGGTCTGTCGATGGAGAACGTTCCATTCTATGAAGAAGTTCAATCTTTCGTTCTTACACTTGAAAAGGAGTTGAAAAAACGAGGACTGGATTATGGGATCGGCGCCGAACATGCACATTCCTGTTGTATCCTGCTAGCAGACAAGACTCGGTTCTGGACTCCTCTGAAGAGCAGTGAGGATCGGCAGAGAACCGCATATGAAGGTCCTGGGCGTTATCATACGCTGATTGATTATCCCGCGTTTTTCAAGTGCGTCGAAAGTGGCAAAGCCTTTGGCCCTGAAGACTACAGGGGAGGCGAGACTGCTGAGTGGGCTCTATGGGGAAATGGAGGGTTTGATCCGAGAGATGAGAGGGTGGATCGGAAGGGCAGACCGAAGGATGTACCGGAAATCAAGAGGGTGGTCGAAATCTGAGATCTTTTAATATGGGAACCATACTTGAAAGAGATCGGACTGACAGCGATGTTTGCTACCAATCCAGTCAGTCTTCTACGAGGGCTAATGTGACACCGAACTATGGAGGAACCTATGAGTACGCCTTGAAAGATAGGCCTGCTCCATCGCCAATTCACGCGCCGCAGCCCGCTTCTGACCATCATGCTGAAGATGCAAGCAACCCACCCTCCGCCCCATGCAAGGAATACGAACATCTGTACTATCCCTGGTATAGAAGACGGGACCTCTCTAGAGAAGAGGAAGCTAGCTAGCTATAGGCCCAGTCCTACATCAGACAGGTACCACCTTGCCCCAGACTTCACGACTCAACCCTATCAGCGCTGCTTAACAAACTGCAAGCTACAGGTATCGCTCCCGCTCCACCGCGTCCCTCTCTTCTTCACTTTCTTTCTTCACTCTCCTCACTCACTCGAATCAACATCCCTATGACTCAACCCCTGTCTCGTCGTTATCAACGTCGTATCCCAACTCCCCTCCGGTTGCGACACTTCACTCCTCCGCATAAACAACGCCGTCGTACTCTCCAAAGGATCATCGTTCAAGAGTTCCGTTTCGCAGACTACATATATAAACAACGTGTACATCGTACATCAATAATCGAGATTCGAAACCCCCCAAGAAGGTAGGAAGGAATAGGGTTAAAAAAAAGGGGGGTTAAACACGTACAATAAAACACAACCCCAAAATCCCCCGTAGTATAATAATTTCACAGGCCCATCCACAATACTAATTAATCTGTTTGATTCTCATCCAATTTTCCTCTAATGTCAAATCCGACCGAAATAGTAAAAGACTTGTGATGATGAGGGAAAACCCGCCTAAGTGGACTTTTTGTATATGTCTAATAAAGAAGAAGAAGAAGAAGAAGGGGACCTTTTCCCTTTTCTTCCTCTTCTGATGATGACACTTCTGACGATGACACTTCTAACCAGCTCATAATGTCCTCCTTCCTTTTTTCCCTACAAAGTTGCGCATATTAGCCTTCTTGAGCTGCTCTGCTCGGATGGTTATATGAGAGGAGAGTAGGTAGTAGGTCACAACCATATCGCTCGCTGCTTGTGTCTTTGTTGCTGCTTTTTGTGGGCAGGTGGTGGTACGTGGTGGAAGGATGTGTTTATTTGAGAGGAGATTTTAAGAAAAAATTGATAGGGAGTGATAGGTGGGCCGAGAAGTTTATCTTAGAATGATGGTTATGGAATGGCTGTAGTTTGTGAGAGGGCCTTTGGCAGAATGTTGAGGTCGATGGGATGTAATTGCAAACGAGAGAGAGGAGTTGAGCGGTGGGTTCGAATTTGGATTATGAATCTTGGTATAATTATGGCTGACACCAAGACAAAATACATCTAATCCGGCTGAATTGGATATTTTTTCTTTCGGCAATAGACCTTTTAACCAGGGTATCAACTTTCAGGTGAATGAATCGAGTGAAGAAATGTTATTCAACAGCTCGAGTCGGCGTCATTATTAAATTCTTTACTTCTTCCCAGGGTTCTGGTTGAAACTCATACTATACCCTCCACTCTTTTCATCCTTCACAAATTGAAAGTTATCCGTACTCATCCCAAACATGCCCAAGACACTATTCCCTAGTCCCTTCAACTTGTCCATCATCTCACCCATTTCCCTTTCTTTGGCCTCATTCAGCCTTGGTGTCAGCGCCTTGCTGGCTTCCTTGACACTTCTCAGATCCGTGGGTGATAAGAAGCCTTGCATGGTAGGAGACAATAATGTTCTGTAATCCTCGTCTGCACCTTGCAAGTTTGCCCAAGTGCCCAACTCTGCTTTCGCCTTGGCACGTCGCATCAGAAGTTTGATCTGTAACTTGCGAACTTCGTCTAATGTTCGACCGCTTTTTTGGAGATTCGCTATCCTTTCTTCGACTTCCTCACTCACTTCCTCAATGCCGTCGCCATTGGCTTCCTCGACAGCATCCTTGCCTTCTTTACGTGAATCCTTGGGCTTTGGCAGTGTCGGCAGAGGCTCCAGGTTTTCGAGATTGGTAATACCCTTCTCAGCACTCTCGACGGCTTCTTTCCATTCCTGCAGCTTGAGGTGGCAGGCTGCTACGTTGGAGCGGAGAACGGCCAGTTCGTAGTCGAGGTAGTTTGGACATGATGACAGAGCTCGGTCGTATGTTTGAATTGCATTTTCAAAACTGCCTTTGCCGAAGAGTTGATTGGCCGAGCCTTTGAGGCTGTTGGACTCGGCGAGGAGAGTGGCTTCTTCTTCGGGCGAGAAGCGTTCGATCACTGGTTTGGTGGGGACGGCTTTATCTTTCGAAAGAGACGACGGCTGCGGTCGAGGATGTGTCGATATGGGCTGTTCGCTGTCGTCGCGAAGGCTGTGGAAAGAGGCGTCCGAGTCGCTGTCGTCGCCGGACTGGTGCACTCGACTGTGTTTGGTCATTGTGATGGTGGTTGTTCTCTAGAGTGAAAGTGAAAGTGACGACAGCAAGGTTTCACATGCAGATCACAGGCGGAGGACGGTCCGCGCGCCAATCAGATGCCGATCGCAACCGTGTTGGTGTACATGTTCAGTCGTATTCTATGTTATACTTCTACCACCATTCTCTGCCAGCAAGGTAGATATCTCGACCATGGCCGAAAGCAACGATAACCGATTCGTGGCCAAGGTGCCCGACGTCGAAGACCGCCTCAAGGCCGACACGGTCGGTCTGGTCACGCTGGACGACTTCCGCAAGCGTCGAGCGGAGGCAGCAGAAGGTGGGAGTGGAGCGACCACGCCCGATGGACGGTAAGACAGACACGACCCACGTATGGTATGAGCGGGGACTGACAGCACAAGTACAGCGAAGGCACGCCAAAAGCCTCATCCAGTGGGAATGCTCCTTTCAAGAAGCGCAAGAAGGCAGCAGCAGTGAAGAAAGGCGGTCTATCCTTTGGCGGTGACGACGACGATGAGGAGGAGGAGGCTGGACAACGAACAGGCGAAGATGGCTCGGTCAGAGTCAGAGCCATATCGGCCAACACACTCGCTGGTCAACCGCCTGGCGAAGATTCGGACACTTCTGCGACCAGCGCTGCCTTCAAGAAGAAGAAGAGCCTCCGACCGAATGCGTCCGTCGGCCTGCAACCGAAAGCGCTCACCAAATCGGCACTGCTCAGGGAAGCTCAGCTGAAAGATGCGTTGAGAAAAGAGTACATTCAGATACAAGAGGCGGTCAAAGCGACCGAGTTCATCCTGCCATTCGTCTTCTACAATGGCAAAAATGCTCCAGGCGGCAAAGTCAGACTGAAGAAGGGCGACTTTGTCTGGCTATTCTTGGAGCGAGCCAGGAAAGTTGGTGCTGAGCTGGGCAAAGTAGGAGAGCGAGGGCGGAAAGACTGGGCCAGGATCAGTGTGGACGATTTGATGGTCGTCAAGGGAGACTTGATTTTGACACATGTGAGTAACAATACGCACGACTGTATCGCGGTGCTCTATATGCTGACTTGCACCAATCTAGCACTACGACTTTCATTACTTCTTCCTCAACAAAAGCACCGGCTATAATGGCCGCCTCTTCAGCGACTCCTTCTCCGCCGAGCCCACGACCGCAACACCCAAGCACCTTCTTCCTTCCAAAGACGCCAGCTCGACTGACGATGCTCCAGCCGAGACTGTGGGAGTACAAACCGCGGCGCAACTCCGCCAACAAAAGGCTCGTGAATCCGCAGCCGCCCTTCCCGACTCTGAGCTGGAAGGCTACAGCGAAGATCCGAGTCTGACCAAGGTCGTGGATAGGAGATGGTACGAAAAGCACAAACACATATACCCCGCCAGCACCTGGGAAGAGTTTGATCCCGCTCGAGAAGAGGAATACAAAAAGGGCGTCAGGAAAGATCGGCAAGGCAATAGCGTCTTCTTCAACCGGTAATCCGTGCGTAGGGCCTCGTTCCCTCGAAGAGTCTCCCGATGTGCTTCAAATAGCAAATCCGGCGCCTGAGTAGCAGCACAAAAGACCGCACCCATTCCCTCGAAGAAAAAAACAGCAAGCAAGTTCACCTTTTCCCCACTCATTTACTCACTCACTCAACCCCACAACATCCAAACCCCCACCACCATCCACACCATCAAACTGATCGGATTCAAGAGAAACAAGACCAACGGTGTCGGCGAAAACAGGATTGCCATGACCACACTCTGTCCACATCTCCCCATGTACACTTCGAATCTCTTCCTTCTCGTTTTCAGCTGCTCTGCGAAATCTTCCAAACTCAATTCTCCTTCTTTGCTATACCAGCCTGGACTTGATCTTGAAGAAGCAGAACGAGAAAGAGGAGGGGAAGATCTTCTCGAGCTAGATCGGGACTTGGACGCGGGAGAAGCAGGTGGTGGTGGTGGTGGAGATGTGATGATAGTAGCGAGAGAGATGATGGAGAATGTTGGCGAGGAAGACGTGGAACTTTGAAGCGGGTGTTGAGTATTCGAGGTTCGGAGAAGATGGTGTTGATGCGTGCAAGCAGCGACGAGGTCTCCTCGGTGAGAACTCGGTTGAGAGCGAATATGGGCCAACGTCTTGCCGTTGAGGACGAGAGAGGTGGTATTCATCTTTTTCTCTCTTTGGATTTTCTTCCGTTTCTTCTTCTATCGTTTTCTCACGACGAAGGTAGATTTTGCAGCAGCAGCAGCAGCAGCAGTAGTAGTAACAGTAGTAGTAGTAGTGCTCAACAGAATGACACAGCTCGACTTCAAAAAGTAAAAAGCCCCAGCAGCAGCATGCAGCAGCAGCAGCAGCAGCGGCAATAAACTAATTCTTCTAGAAAGTACCCACCTCAAGGGAGGTATAGCTAAGGTAAGGGTATCTTAAGGTACCCTACCCTACCAGCTACCTACATATCACTTTTTTTTGCCCCCAAAAAATTAACAAATCAACTAACTCAATCAATCTAAAAAAGTTGCTGTAGTATATGTACGTACATTTGAAGCTACCTAGGGAAGCTTAAGGTACTTGTATGTATGTATGTATCCTACCTGCCCGTAAGGTAAGTCTATAAGGTCGTATTTCCTATCCATCCATCCATTTATTTATCTATCTATCTATCCATCAATGTCAGGTAAGGTCAGGTTAGATACCTAGGGTAAGGTAGGTTAGATATACTACTCATCAACTAGAAGCCAGTCCCCCCTCCGAAAATCCCGCGCGCGCGGGGGGCGAAAAACGGAATTTCATCGGATAGAATTGCAAACAGTATCTCTTTCGCTGTCTGCTATATACAGTACAAGTGCTTCACCCTACTGCTACTACCTACTGCAATTGCTCGCTCGGGTAGATTAGGACCGTCAGCTACCTACCTCCTAGTAGCTACATGTGACCTAGGAGGTAGGTAGGTCAGCTAGGTAGGTCAGCTACTAGGAGGTCAGCTAGGTAAGCTCAACAATCCAGCCAGCCAGTCCAAAAGTATCCAAGGCCAATGTGGGCGAAATTCGCTTCGTGATTGGATACTTCCAAACAAAAAGAAAAAAAAGTGTAGGTGTTTGTGTGTTTGTTTGTTTTGTTTGTTCATGTGGACTGTTTAGGTTGTTTCTTGATTGGAAAGAGTTTGGTATCTTTTTTTTGGAGGAGGGAGGGAGGAGGGAGGAGGAGGGGGAAGGATTGTTAGGAGGGAGGTAGTAGGTAGGTAGGGGGAGGCTCGAAGGGGGGAGGGTCGATAATAAGAGAGAGAGAGAGAGAGAGAGAGAGAAGAAAAAAAGGAGAAATCGGGCTGGGTAAGGGTTTTTTGGGGGTGCTTTTTTCGCTCAAGGGTATTTATTGGTTGGATTGGATTGGATTAGATTGGTTGGGAGGTTGATCGAGGAGGGGAGTTTTAGGGACTAGGGGAATAGATAGATATTGCCGAGTCTTTTTTGGAAGGGGTTTGATCTGCTAGGAGGAGTGATTTGATAATACAATACCTATACGGTATGCCTAGGGATATTAGGTCTAAGGAGCAGAAGAATATTCTACTTGCAGTAGTAGCCTATTTCTTATTATAATGATTGTATCTTAATATGTCCTACGGGCCTGCCCGTTGGTGGTACGGATTCTACAGAATGTGTGCCAATCTCGATTTTCGCGCGCGCACCGCGCGCACAGCGCGCGCATGTATCTATCTCTATCTCCATCTCCATCTCCATCTCCTCGTCCTCGTCCTCGTCCTTGTCCTCGTCCTTGTCCTCGTCCTTGTCCTCGTCCTTGTCCTCGTCCTTGTCCTCGTCCTTGTCCTTGTCCTTCTCTTCTCTTCTCTTGTCTTCCCTTCTCTTTGCTTCTTCTCTTCTCTTCTCTTTGGTTCTTCTCTTCTCTTGGTTCTTCTCTTCTCTTTGGTTCTTCTCTTCTTCTTGTCCTTCTCTTCTGAATTTTAGGCAAGGTGGCCCGTAGGGGCCCGTAGGGACAGGTAGGTAGGTAGGTAGGTAGGTAGGCAGGCAGGCAGGCAGGCAGGCAGGTAGGCAGGTTGGTAGTCTTTCCGCCTAAGGCGGGCTACCTATGGACAGCAAAAAGAATAATGGCACCCCCGCACGCCGATCTTCCGTCGCGATTTTCTCTCTCTCTCTCTCTCTCTCTCCTCTCTCCTCTCTCCTCTCTCTCTCTTAATAATGACTCCACATCTACAGACACCCGAGAAGAGTGAAATCCGAGGAGCGAGGAAAATCCTTGAATTCCTAGCAAGAGAAGGAAAATACGACGAACCTAGGAAACTTACGACGCTCGCGGAATGTTTTCAAGTAAGCGAGAATCGAGTCTCTACGATATACCGCTCTCTACGAAATCGCCGGCGATATTCAGAAGGAGAGGATCCTAGAGGAGGCTACCGCGGAGACGATGTTCTAAGACTAGGAGAGGAGAATATAAGCGACGCTATACATGCGATTAAGGACAACGACTACGAGGGACATGACCTAGATTACGGCGCTTTACGCTACGAAGCTACTCTCCCTAATGTTTCTACTAGAACAATACGATATAGTCTACGTAAAGAGGGTATAGGACGCTATATCGCGCGTATAGAGGACGAGCTAGATTATAAACACGTACAACTACGTATAAAATTCGCTCTAGAACAACTAGAAATACGACCAAAATCTATCGATTAGCGTAACGTCTTATTTACAGACGAATTCTACTTTGGATAAGGACAAGAGGAGAATAGGCACTTTATTTTCTAACGCCTAGGACAGCGTAATAAACCAGAGTGTATACGCCGCGTTTCTAAGAAGAAAACAGAACGAAAAAAAGGCTCTAAACGAGACGAAAATCCGTATAACGACGAGGAGACAAAGGACGTTTACTTCTTTGCTATAATTAGTATAGAACGACCTCCCTAGCCTTCTAAAGCGTAGCGAAGGTTAGGCGTAGAGAGGGAGTAGAGGCCAATTAATTAGCAAAACGTATATACCTAAATATAGCTGTATATAGCTAGAAATTCTAGAGAGCGTACGCTCTAATTAGCGTATCCTTTGTAGTAGAGTATGCTAAATCTACTAGACCTAATACGTTACTACCTCAAAAAAGCCCGCTATAGGTACTAAAAAAAAAAGCTCTATATAGTAGCCGCCGGAGGTACCTCTACGTAGTTCTATAGCGAAGCGAAGGACTACTATACCTACTAGAGGCAATCTACTGTACGCGTATTATATATAGTATATATTGCATACGTTACGACGTATACGTCGCTATATAGGTACGTAGCGCGTAGCGCTATATAGTAAGGTAGGTATATAGAGCGCGGCTTTCGGAGCCGGAAAACCCTTATCTAGTATAATATATTACGATAACGTAAGCAGACTTGAACTTTCTACTTCGACTTCCTAAACTTCCTTCTATCTACTTTATATTAATACCGATATTATACTACCGATACCTATCGCTACGACGACGACGACGACGACGATATATACCGCCGCTATAGATATCTACCGCCGATATGCTATCGAAGAAATCACGTTACCGACGATACGCCGCCGCTGCCGATACGTTGTCGAACCGAATATCTACTATAAGATCTAATATACGATAATAATAGTAAGCAACGATAGCGATAACGAGCCTTACCGCCGATACGCCGAAGAGACATTCAATCCGCCGCCGCCGTACGACGCTATCGAAAAAGTTACTCGCTTAACAAACTATATACCTTCTAACAAAGTATCTATTAAACCTACATTTATAAAAAGTTTAAAAACTTAACAACGCTAATCAACCTATAGAACTATATACTACGAACTATATATACCGAATCGATACGCCGAACTAAATTGTAGAACCCTACGCCGAATTAAGAGAAGTTACGCCGAATCGACAATTAGTATTAAACTATAGAACTCTATACCGAAATCAAGACAATTCTATACTAAATCGATACGCCGAATCGAACTATAGAACCCTATACCGAAATCAAGCGACGATAGCGATAACGAGCCTTACCGCCGATACGCCGAAGCGATATTTACGCCGCTACCGCCGAACGATACTATTAAAAGTTACTTGCTTGCTAAACTATATACCTTCTAATAAAGTGTCTATTAAACCTTCGTTCGTAAAAACTTAACAACGCTAATTAACTTACAGAACTATACTATATACCGAACCGTACAATACGCCGAACTAAATTGTAGAACTCTATACCGAATTAAGACTAATTCTAGCCGATCGACAATTAGTATTGAACTATAGAACTCTATACCGAAATCAAGATAATTCTAGCCGAATCGATATACCGAACTAAACTATAGAATCCTACGCTAAAATCAACCGAATCTAGCGACTATACGCCGAATCTACCCGAATCGATACTACGGCGACGACGACCCTTACCGCTAACGACTATACCTATCGCTACCGATACGCCGCCGCCGCCGACGACGCCGAGATAGTTATACTATCGCTATACGACGCCGTTAAAGAAGTTACTCGCTTAACAAACTATATACCTTCTAACAAAGTGCTTAGCAAACCTACGTTCGTAAAAACTTAATATACTACTAACTAACTCGTAGAACTATATACTATATCGGATCTACTACAATTAAGCATTACGAAGTACCTACTACTAAACTGTACTTGCCTTATTCTACCGTATCTACCCTCTACCCCCTCCTCTATACCTGCTAATCTATAGCTACTATTTAGGACAGCGCGGCCGGTAGCGGTAACGAGGAACCTCCGAACAAGCGACTACCTAAGCGTACTATTCTATAAGATCGAGTTGATTTTAATCTAGAAGACGAATTCGAGTCCGACTACGACGCCGCCTATCTAGGTATAAAGAGGTATGCCTACGGCTACTAGCGAGCGAAGAATTACTTTGTAGACAAGCGCGCCGGGCACCGCAAAGCGGTTATAATATATACCGATTGTCGACGGATACCGCCTAGTATGCCTATAACTTAGTATATACCTCTAGCTAAAAAGACTAAAGTAATATCTCCGAATTATCTCGTACTACTATAGCACTAGTACTAGTACTAGGACTAACCGCCTCTTTGTCGTCGTTAGCGCTTCCGACGAATATAAACGATCTACGATTTACGATACAGTACTAAGCAATTACGAGCTAATTCGGTATTAGTAGCCGTTTCTAGCTACTCGCGCCGTACGCCTCGCCTGCCGCCGTACCTATATTTAGTATACTAGAATTATTAATGCCTACTAATACGAACGATCTACGATTCGATACTTAGTATTAATTAATTGCTAGCCGATTCGGTCTTAGTACCCGATTTGAACGATCGGTACTAAATCCGAACCTAACCCTATCTATAATAACGGTCGTACCGAGCCCTATACTAATACCTATACCTACTACATCCGTATCTAGCCTCCGCGCTAAGACAGCTATACTAATCGGTACTAGATCAAGCTCTACTATATTTACCGATACTCCGCTAGGCGACACTAAACCGTCGCTATCGCTCCTAAGCAATATAAATAACCCTCGATTTCGTTAGCAATATAGGTTAATTGCTAACCAATTCGGAATTCAGACGACGTCTTCCGCGATCCGGAGTTATTTAGAATTCCTCCGACGACGCCAAATGCTACCGCTACCGTCTCGAAGTAGCCTGCCTATATCGTCTTAGACCTTAGACTACGATCCTATTTAAACCCCGGGTAAATCGATACAATACGAATTCGGCACTTCGAGCTTCTAATTTACTAAACCTAATACTATAGCCGACAATTACGATACTACAGATAATAATAATAATGATAATAATAATAATACTCCTTAAAGCTTATAGGGCTCGTACTTTTCGTAGTCTACGTAGCCCTCGAAGCCTACGTAGCCCGCTCGTCGTCGACAACGAAAGAGTTCCGCTAGGGCTAGCGTAGTACAACGAGATTATAAATACTGTATTATACGCCTTCTAACTAACGAGGGCAATAGTCCCCCTCTGTTTAATAATTATAATAATCTTGATTAGCCGGTATTGTCCGCTTATAACGAGACTCTTTTAACGAGTTTCAACAACGCTCTAGATTCAGACATAATAAGTATATACGATATATATAATAAACGCTGGTTTAATATAGATTTGTAGCTGTTCATTGTCGAAGGTATAGAGTACACTAACGTCTACAAGCTATACTATAGTAGGAATCGAGAAGGGGGGGCTTAGAAGCGATAAGGCGTACCTCTACTTATATCTGCTGCCAACAAGATAGATCCTAGACGAATTAATTATAGACTTAACGAGCCGATAATAGTTAAAGAGATGTTGATAGTACGTATATACATCTAAGTAGAGTGCTTCTAGATCCGTAGACAGTAGTAGAGTTATCGCGGTTATGTTGTCTTATTCTTAAAGGACGTTATTCAGGTATACAACAAGCTCCCTCTAATACCGGCAGACCTCAATATTGTTGTACTCAAACCTACGGACGCTAATAATACTAACAACGCTGATCGTTACGCTCGCTAGCTCCAATTTACGCGGGAATTTACTGTTCGTAAGGACGTTGTTCTAACCTAGCTCCGCTTTTTAAAATCAAATCACCCGGGCTACCGAGACGTATCTATTAACTACTAGGTTAATCTACTAGACAATGCTAACGTTATAGACCAAGTCGCTAATAGGCAGTACCGAGCTAGTAGTAGTAGTAAAGAAACTACCGGTAATCAACGCCTACGTACCTAGCTAGAAGCTAACCCTACTAATTCTGCCGAAGAGGAAGATACTCCGGACGACGAAGGATTTGATAGTAGTACTATTCCGGCAATGAATGTAGACAACTTAGATAGTAACCTAGACGAGCTACGCCGTCAAGTTAGCGTAGTACCTCTCGGTAGCCGGCAACTATAGCAACGACTAGCTCTTACTTAGCCTAATGTCGAAGAACGTCCGCTTACGGAATAGTTAGAAACGTAGCCGATTCTTTCTCTAGCCTTCCCCTCTCTATACCCCCGTAGGCTTGTAGAAATCAAGCAACTACGCGATCGTTATATATTATACCGAGAACATACTGTTCATCTTATAAAGTATAAGGACGGCCGCTTTACTAGCTACCTACGCTAGCGGTATATAGTATTCAATACTAAGATACGTATACAAACCAAGAACAGCTCCCGATTCTTTCTTAGACTTAACCCTTAATATTAAACAACTACTTTAGAGGATATCCGAGCTGCATTTGAAGCGCCTAATAATCTAGAAGCCCGGCGATTGCTTAACGCGATTACTCGTTCTGCCTTTGCCCTCCGAGGTATACCTATATACTATACTAGTATAAAGCGTAATCTTAAGGCATACTATCGATTCCTAGGTATACCTGATTTCTTCTTTATATTTAGCGCCGCTAATTTGCAGTAGGATTCATTAATAAAGCTTATACCCCCTAATCAATATAGTAACCTTTATACCCGCTAGAAGGCCGGCGATTCTTAATCTCGGATTAAGTTGTTAAGAGCTGCCTTGCGGGACAACCTATATATTGCTACTATACACTTCTAGCGACGATTGGATTGTCTAATTAAGATAGTAATAAAGCCTAAGTTCTATATTCAAGACTTCTAGTATCGGTTTGAATTCTAAGGACGCGGCAGTATTTATACTTATAGTTTCGCTTAGTTATACGCCCTAGGCTTATTTAATATAGAGAACGAGAACGAGCGATACGACTTTACTAACGTATAGCGCCGCTATCTATTCGCAATCAATCCTGAACTATATAGAACCGCTGCTCAAACCGACCGTAGTACTATTAGTTTCGGTTTAGAAATCTCTAATAGCCTATATAATCTCTCGGATGTTATTAACCGTATACAACGTTACAAATGCTCGGAATATTGCTAGCGTAGGAAGAGAGGGCAGAATCCAAATAATTTACGTACATTCTGCCGATTCTACTTCCTCCGTAAGATTTAACCTACCGCCGAAACTAGCAAGAAGCGGAATCCGGCTTATTTTATGTTCTACGTACAAAGCAATCAAACCCTCCTTAATTACTACAATCTATTGATCTTACTAGCCTAGCGTACGAATACGGATTACGGACATATCTCTATATACCGACTTATAGGCCGTAGTAGAATACCTAGGCAAGTACTATACTAAAGCGGAAGTAGCATTATTCTTATTTAAGGCAATACTTAGGGCTCTGATTCCTATAGTATCCTCTACTAATCAACCTATTGTCCAACTAGCAGCTAAGGCAATAAACAAGATAATAGGTAGCCGTAATTAGGGTGCCTAAGAAGTGTGCTTTCTCCTCCTTAGTCTATAGCTTTAGAAGGGTACTCGTATTGTACTCTCAGTTGACTATCGACCTCTATCTGCCTAAATCCGGATCTTAGCATTAAACGATAATAATAATAAAGCTCTACTATAAGAAGATTTCAAGAAGGGCAAATCCTATTAGATTAAGTATATTTAGCGACCCCTATAGTACGAAGATATTACCTTTTTCGAGGCTCTAACCTATTATAAACTAAGAGGTATAACAATAAGAGGTCTCCTCCGAGGCTCTCCGCGGCTGTTAAGTTACTACCTAAAGTATAAGAATAACCCTCTTAATTCAATATATAAAGACTACTATCGCACTTAGGTAGTACTACTAGAAGGTCTATAGCGAGCTTACCTAGTACTCCTAGTTACTCTTCGAGACTTATATATTGCCTTCTATACCTACTCTAACGCCTACCGCTAGTGTCGACGCTATTACGAACACTACCCCGATCTATATATAGCTCTACTTTAGAAGCTATTATAGGAGGTATAGGCTCGGATCGACGTAGAGGATTTCGAAGAACGCTTAGATAAAGAGGACGCTGATCCCGTATATTAGGATGAACTTAATATCCGACGTTCCTAGTATAACAACGCTAATGCCCTTAGAAACAGAGACATTGACGTTAATGCGGATTGGTCTAGCTTTATTGCTAAATACGCCGCCCTGTTCCCGAATCTCTATAATTACCCTTAAAGAGACTATTAGAAAGAAGAAATAGCTGCAAATCTAGTAGAGTTGCGCGTAGATTTACAATCTACCGGGTAGAAGGAGCTTCTTAATCCAGAGCAGCGTCTAGTATATAATATAGTAATTAACTACTATATTAGCTTTCTAGATAGCCAAAACCCTCCTTAACTGCTTCTTAATGTTAATAGGCGAGTAGGAACTAGCAAGTTATATATAATTAACCTTACTTCTGCTTATCTACAAACTAAAGCTAGATTCCGTAGGAACCTAGTACTCCGCTTAGCTCCTACTAGTGTTGCTGCTTATACTATTAATAGCTAGACTCTTTATAAACTCCTTAAGTTGCCTGTCGGTAGTAGACGCCAATTTCAAGAATTAGCTAACACTACCCTACAAAGCGTCTAAGCTAAGCTCTATAGTATTCAGTATCTTATTATTGATAAGAAGTCTATAATTAGTCTTCCGCAACTCAAAATAATCGAACTCCGCCTCTCTTAGGCCTATAGTAGTCTATTACCGTTCGGCGGAATAAATATTGTCCTTCTCGGTAACTTCTTTTAGCTCCTACCTATTGCCGGTCTTCTACTATTTAGCGCTAATCTAGAGTATATAGTCGATATTAGTAGCTATAATAACTATTGCAGCTTCAATCGTACTATCGAGTTAATACGACTTATACGACAGCAAGGCAATACCTAAGCAGTATTCAGACAATTACTAGAAGGCCTTCGTAGTAGTATACTTACTTACGAGAATTAGCGCGTACTTGTAACCCGGGTTGGCTCCGTTCTTCCTATATACGAACGGCACTTATTCGATAATACTACTCGTATCTACTTTACTAATAGCAGCGTACGAGACTTTAATAACTAGCGGTTAACAGTATTGAATATACCTGTTCTTAAGCTTAAAGCTAAGTACGATAATAAGACAATTAGACAGCGCGCTTCTGTTAATAAGTACGGTCAATTGGAGGCAGAGATTAAGGTATCTATTAGCTATAAGATTATACTCCTTAAGAACGTATAGACTAAAGCCGGCTTGGTTAATAGTGCTACTAGATTCCTATATAATATCGAATAGCTACTAGGCACTACAAACCCTCGACAGACGCTGCCCTATTGCCTTATTATAAGAATCAAGAAGTCCGACTATACGGGCCCTTAGCTTTAGGAAGCCGGAACTAATATTACTATACCTATCTTTACTAACAAGAGACCCTTTTATCGTAGTAGAAACGAGTACTATCGCAAGCAGTTTCCAATTCGTATAGCGTTCGTAATAATAGTATACAAAGTATAGGGTATAACCCTCGAAAGAGCAGTAATTGACATTACCTCTAAAGAATTCACGCCTAGGTTGCGATATATAGCAGTATCTAGGGTAAGGACTCTTAACAATCTTATATTTAAGAAACTATTTGACTTCTTACTCTTTACTAATCGACTTAGCGTTACTACTATTGCTCGCGAAGCCGATATCGAACGCCGTAATCTAGAGCGCCTTCTTCCTAAGAGCGGTTATAACACTTCAGATACCTATACCCGATCGCGATAGACGACTCGTAGTACGTCCGGCGGGCCGCGGTCTTAATACCTTACAACAATACAGCTCTATTAATAAGATTATAAATTAGTATCTTGACGAAGATTACGCTGTAGGGCTAGGCAATACCGGTCTCGAATTCAATAAGGACGACTTTATTCGGTTAGGTAGGAGAAGCAGACGCGCTACGCGAGATAATAAGGATAAGTTAGTAATAGCCGGAGGGCTCGGTAAAGAGATATAGCATAAAGAGACATAGTAAGAGCAAGGATATACAGGTAGCTACTCGCTGCAATTCAACGAGGATAACTTTATTATAATAGTTCTATAAGCGTAAGGGTATACATAACAGAGGTTCGAGGTATAAAAGGTATAAACAATATACGGCTTACTATCTAAGGTATAATAACTCTACCCTTCCTTCCTAGAGGAGGGCCCTCGCTATATATATAAGCTATTCTATTGTCTACTCCTCGCTACCGGTACCGCCTCCTCTTAGGTAGTAGCCGATAACCGGTTCCCTTAGGAACCCTCTTAATTTAGAACGTCTCCGATCGGTAGGGTATCCCTTCTATACCGGATCGCCGGAGGTCCGCGAGGGCTTCCCGGCCTATACGGTACGCCCCGCCTACCTCGCCGGGGGTTCGCTAGGGCTTCTCTACTCTAGCGTATTACAGACGCCCCCTCTTAGAGCTAATATCCCTAGTAGCGATAGGTTATTAGTCCTCTACGTATTCGCCCTACAAACGGAGGTAGACGTCTACTCTTATCTAGGTACCGCGTAGAGCTAGCGTATATCTGCGGAATGTCTATACCTTAGTATTAGTAAATATTGTATATAAACTCCCTCTTATATTCGCGCTATCGCGAAGCGTCGCTAAGAATGTTTGCTTATAGTCGCGTCGCGAATTCTATAAGTAGTAGTCGGGAGTACGCGGTAGTGTCTCTATAGAGATAGAGTATTTTAATAGGTTCGTCGCGCGTTCTGCGATCCTCTTATTCCTTTTCTGTTAATAACCTACTACGTACTAATATCCTTACCCGCCTATAACTCTATTACTACTACCGTATTCAGATAGCTATACTTCTACTTCTCGTTCTTCGTTTACTCTTTATAGCCCCGCCTCGTCCCTTAGTTTCCCTTGCCGGTTCCGCCGCTTTATTAGGCCCCTTCGACTATTATAGCGTTTACCCGGGGGTATATAACGATTCCTTTCTCCGCTACGTATATAAAGGATATAGTACCTAACGACTAGGACTATAGCTAGTCGGACGCCGACTAAGACGAAACCGGGTACGTAGCTATATACCTACGGTACGCAAAGTCGATCGCTATAGGGCGAGTGTATAATACGCCTACGTACCGCGTATATAATAGCTACGCGAACAATAACAAAGTAGGCTATAATAGCGTAGGAAGGGTAAGTGTCCGTCTGCCTCGCTAGGGGTTCGCCTTGCTAACGAGTTTGTATATAGACCGTACTAAGACTCTTAAACAAGGTAATCGCCGTCTAACGCTAGAAGGATACCTGTAATAAGATCTAGAGAGAGATTTCGGCTAGTTACCCGGTAAGCTCCGTAGAGGACGCGCGCGCCCTCGTAGAGGGCGATAAGGAGTACTGTCGCTAGGTAGTACGCCTCTATCTTATAGCGCGAACCCTTAATAGAGAGATCTATACTATTAAGGTAGCGTACTACCGTACGGAGACTACCGTAGATAGGCCTACTCTCGCGCTATAGTCGACCTAAGACTACTAAGGCTTGCTGCTCTTAGAGCAGTTGCGTTTACTAGAACGCTATCCTATATAGGGACCCTTAGAACGCCTCTAAGGGTCGTTAGCGGTAAGTCTTAATAACGCTCCCCGTTCTCGGGAACTAGCTAACTATATTATAGCGTCCCTCTACTACTATAGTAGACGCCTTTAACTAGACGCGTACGAGGTTCTACTAGGTAGTACCTACTATAGTATTATGCCTAGACGAGGCCCCGGCGGTTCCCTACGTATCGCCCCGTCCTTAAGCAACCCTACTAGTACCCTCTATAGGTCGGAGTTACCGTCGGGGTAGTTGCCCTATAGTATATTTGTCTAACGATAAGGAGCTTCTAGCTATAGTACCGACGCCGGTAACCTCTCGTCGGCGCGGCGAGAAGGTACGCGAGGTTACCCTATCCCTAGAGCGGGGTCCCGTATTGCTAGACTTTGTTCGAGATACCCTTCCTAGCCTACGTTGACCTAAGGCTAGTATCGTTCCTATATCGACTAATAATACGCTCTCTCGTCTATATAGCGGTCCTATAGCGACTACTTGTCCTACTGCTCGTCCGGCGGTCCCTATCCGAGACTTACTAGTATATACTCCGGTAGCTCGTCGCTAACTAGTAGCTCGCGAGACCCTTCGCCGTTCGACGGCCGGTCGCCTAGTGCCTCGTACGCTATATAGTAGTCGTACTTTAAACACTATATACTCTCTATTACCCGGCTATATAGCTAGGTACGATTTTAATACTTCCGAGAGGATCGCTACGGCTACCTTAGACTAGGTACTATATCTACGCCGGATATCTAGCTGTCCTACTCCGATATCGCTATCGTTGCGCTTAATCCGGGGGACTCCCCGATTATCCTACTATAGCGGTCGCTCTATTAAGAACCCTTAGCTATTACGTCGGTTCGATAATAGATACGACGAGGAGGATGTTAGCGATAACTAGGAGATAGAGGACGCGCCGCCGCTAGAGGTAGAGGCCCTATAGGATAGGGACCTCCTTATAACGAGCGCTCTCCGAAGTGAATCCCCGGCGCCTATAGTACTATCGGTCCTCGTCGTACTGCCCGTTCTAGCCTCTTCTCGTGTCTCTACTAGGGCGCCGTTATTTCGAGCCTTCTCGCTCTTACCTATAGAGCGCGAGGCTTCTCGAAGCCTATTACGCCTAGTATTATATCTAGCGATTCCCTTTCGCTTTACTAACTCTCTTTCTCGAGAGTCTGCCTATACCTCTCTCTTAGCAACTATACTACTATCGCGTCTATTACCTCCTACCGCCTTTAAAACCGCGCTATCGTCGCCGACTCGTCGGCAATTAAGCCCGACGGCCGAAACTTACCCTAGCCTACCTCTGTTCCTATTACCTCGCTACGAGTTTGAATCCTCTCTTAACCTAGAGGAGTAGGGTCGGGATATCGACCTTAGTAGGGACTAGATTCCCGATATCGATCCGCGGTCGATATCGAATATAGGTTATAACGGGTTAGTAGCCGTTCTAAGAGATATTCGTCGCTTTCTTCTAGACGCGGAAGTCCCGGTACTACTACGTAAGATTTATTAGTTACCTCCGTACTAGGCCCGCTAATAGGCTATAATATAGGTAGATTATAGGTTCTAGCGAGAGGAATACCTAGACAACTACGAGTTCGGAGGTCTTGTTCGGTATATAGTACCTAAGGTCTCGGAGGGTACCCGGGACCCTACGCCGGTACTAGTTAGCGACTACGCTATAGCCGAAGCGCCTTCGGCAGAGGGTAGCGTCGGTAGTTCGTAGGTAAGGAGCGGGATATTTAGTATATTTAGTAGGAGGTAGCCGGGGGTCTACTAGGGTTATAATAGTTTGTCTTATACTATATACTTTTCTTTTGTCTACTACTTGCTCCCTTAGGGGATACCTACGATAATCTCTACTTATCTAGCAGCTTATTTATATTTTCGAAGTTGTCCTTAGGTTCCTAAGTATTAAAGTCCTTATCGTACCCTTTCTACCTAAGTCGGTATTCCGTCTCTCCCTTCCTTTTCCTTTTGTCTACTATCTTATCTACTTCCTATACTTCGGTACTATCGGCGGCGATATCGGGGAACGCTATATTCGCTAGCGGAGCGCTAGGCCTTTCGTAGAAGGGTCGTAGGAAGGAGATATAGAATACCGGGTATATACAGTAAATATTTAGTAGGATTAGCCGGTATACCTACTAGCTATCGCCGACTACCTTATTAACCTAGAATAGGTCTAGGAATTTAAGGGACAGCTTCTTACTAGGCTAAGTCAGTTTTAAGTTCTTTGTACTTAGGAGTACTAGATCTCCTTTAGCAAACGTCTATAGAGTATAGTAGTTATTATACTAGCGCTACTGTCGCCTCTACGCTTATTATATACGAGTCGCTACTTCTGCTCGTACCCGTTCTAGTAGCTAGACTCTATCTAATACTACCGGCGCCTCCCCTTTATAGTAGACGTCTACGTCTAACGCGGACTACTAGGGATGTTTCCTATATACTATTATAAACGGCGTCTCGCCGGTAGTTGCGTATACCGTATTGTTGTATACGAATTCCGCGTATAGTAGAAGGGACGCCTAGTCGTCCTATCTATTAGACGTAAATATCCGAAGGTAAGCTTCTATCGTCTGATTCTAGCGTTCCGTCTACCCGTCTGTTTAGGGATAGTACGCGGTACTTAGCCGTCGTTTTATCTAGTATTAGTAATAAATCTCGGTCTAGAATACCGAGGTAAAGAGCGTACCTCGGTCGCTAACGATTCCCTTAAAGAGCCTGAATTTAGTACCTATATACGTTATAAACACTTTAGCAAAGTCCCTTATAGTCTACGTTTCTTAGGCCGGAATATATAATAATATCTTCGACAGCCTGTCGACAATAACTAGTATAGAGTTATACGTTACCCTATAGTACTTCGCTAGGGGTAGCTTAGTAATAAAATCTAAAGAGATCTCCTCCTATATATTTCCTAGTACCGGAAGCGATTTCAGCTCCTCTAATAGTATCGTCCTAGGTACCTTAGCCTTTTAGTATATATCGTATATCTTGTAGTATTCTCTTATATCCTATCGGAGCTCTAGCTAATATAACGAGCGGTAGACTAACTTTAGTGTCTTATCTTCGCCGAAGTATCCTACGAGGGCAGAGTCGTAGAAGTTAGCTATAATTTCTACTTAGACGGCCGGCTTATTTAGGACGTAAAGCCTCTCTTAGTACTATAGTAGGTTTTTGTTATCGAATAT